TCCAGCCTTGAGATCTAAATTTGAGGGTGGAATAGGGATATTCATTGTTTGTTTGTCTGAGGTTTTCTCTCTGTTACCAAACTCCACCAAAGAGACACTTCCTTCAGTCACACTTAGATCTCTGTAATACTCCATGTTACATTTTTCATGGCTGCACTCCTGTCGTTTTGGGGGAATTCTCCCCTTTCCATGCATGCTGTACTCCCTCTTTTCCCTGTGCATGCTGCCACACAGCCTGTGAGCAGGATACTGCAGTGTGGAGCCCCTGTGGAAGTTGCACCCTGGGAGGGAGGGGTTGGAATGGATCCTGCACACTCAATAAATGCTCTCTAAAAGCAACAAGGTATCTGCACCTTCCCTTGGGATGGGAGCTCATGGAGACACAGCTTTGGAAGTGCTCTGGCTTCCCAGCAAGGAGCTCTGTGGAGCACAGGGAAAGCTGTTCAGATCCTTCAGATCAGGTCATGGTGTCAGGGTTTATCCCAGGATGTCAGAATGACCGTCACCCTGACCCCAACACACCCTTCCAGACCTGGTTTCTTCCCAAAGAAACCAATTTCCAATTTTTTGGAATTTTTTTCCAATTGGAATTTTTTCCAATTCCAATTTTTATCTGATTCCCTTGTGAGCCTGGCTGGAAGTGCTGGACTGCCCCGAGCTCTTCCCTGCCTTGTGAATCCCACCCAGCTCTGCCTGTTGCTGTATCCTGGCATCTGAGCACTCCAAGGTGGATTCCCTGTGTGGCACCTCCCTCTGAGAAGGGAGGAAACTACAGATTCAGAGGGTGATTGCTTTGCTGGGGAGATCTGTGTTTGTCTCTAAACTCAGCCGACTGTGAGCTGGGATTCTGGACACAGCCAGGGATTTGATCACAGTAAAATCAGGGAAAAGAGCACAGGGCTCATGTTGGAGGTGATCTGTGCTGGCTGGGGAGGAAGATGTTTGTTTTTCCTGCAGCCTTACATGAGTTCCATTTGTGTCCTGCTGTGTGTTCCACAAGGTGGCACTGGACAGGTGAGGGCTGGAGCAGGATCAAACAGCTCAGGGAATGGTTTGGGTGGGAAGGGACCTCAAAGCCCCTCTGATTCCAGGGACATTTCCCAGGCCCAGGCTTCTCCAAGCCCTGTCCAGCCTGGCCTTGGGCACTTGCAGGGATCCAGGGGCAGCCACAGCTTCTCTGGGCACCCTGTTTGGGATCAGCTGAATGCAAGTTCTCATTTATTCTTCACTCCTTACAAAATCACACAAAGGTTCCCAAACTCTCCATTAAAAACATCTCCATTTCCAGAGTGCTGACTGAAGGGTTTCTAGACTCACCACCCAAAATTTAACACACATGTACCTGGCTGGCTTTTCACCCACCCTCACGGCCAAAACTCATGGAAAAAGCACAGAAACTTTGGCTTTTTGGAATGTCTGTGTGCCTGGGACCCGTGTGGCTCCTTGATGCACCAGGTCAGTGATAGGCTGGGCTGGGGAGGGTGTGGGAATCCTTGAGATCCACAGGAAAAAGCCTGGATTTCATTAAGGGTGATTGCTTTGCTGGGGAGATCTGTGTTTGTCTCTAAACTCAGCCGACTGTGAGCTGGGATTCTGGACACAGCCAGGGATTTGATCACAGTAAAATCAGGGAAAAGAGCACAGGGCTCATGTTGGAGGTGATCTGTGCTGGCTGGGGAGGAAGATGTTTGTTTTTCCTGCAGCCTTACATGAGTTCCATTTGTGTCCTGCTGTGTGTTCCACAAGGTGGCACTGGACAGGTGAGGGCTGGAGCAGGATCAAACAGCTCAGGGAATGGTTTGGGTGGGAAGGGACCTCAAAGCCCCTCTGATTCCAGGGACATTTCCCAGGCCCAGGCTTCTCCAAGCCCTGTCCAGCCTGGCCTTGGGCACTTGCAGGGATCCAGGGGCAGCCACAGCTTCTCTGGGCACCCTGTTTGGGATCAGCTGAATGCAAGTTCTCATTTATTCTTCACTCCTTACAAAATCACACAAAGGTTCCCAAACTCTCCATTAAAAACATCTCCATTTCCAGAGTGCTGACTGAAGGGTTTCTAGACTCACCACCCAAAATTTAACACACATGTACCTGGCTGGCTTTTCACCCACCCTCATGGCCAAAACTCATGGAAAAGGCACAGAAACTTTGGCTTTGTGCCTGGGACCCGTGTGGCTCCTTGATGTAACAGGTCAGTGATAGGCTGGGCTGGGGAGGGTGTGGGAATCCTTGAGATCCACAGGAAAAAGCCTGGCTTTCATTAAGCACAGCAGCCTTGGGAGCAGAGGCCACCTTGCCATGGTTCTGCTGTGGGGAGCTGGGAAATCTCTGCTGGGAATTGCCAGCAGCAATCCCAGAGCCTGATCCACCCCAGTCCCTGGGCTCAGCATCCTGCAGCTTTTCCCCTTCCTCACTCTGCACATGAGCGTGTGTAACTCCTTTTTCTCTGGATTTTGAAATAGCTCCAGCACCAAACTTCCTGGCTTATTGTCTATTCCTTTTTTGTAAACTGCTTGATTTTTTTCTTCTTGTATAAAATATTAGTTATTTTTTTATATGCTTCAAACCCTTTGTTTGCTTTCTGTCTCGTTCTCAGAGCTCCTGCACAGTGGGATGGATGTTGGTGGGAATGAGCAGGAATGTGCTGGGGGAATTGAGGTTGAACCCACTTGGTTTTTAGCTTCTTGAAAATAATTGTAGGCAAGCCTTGATCCTGCATGTTTCAGGCTCTGGGAATCAGCTGTATTTCAAAACATTTTAAAGAGGAAAAAAAATAATGTAAAGAGCATTAATTATTCTGGGGAAATTGCAGCAGTTTGGGCTTTGATGAAAAACTTCATTACTGATCCTTGATAGAATGGGATTGGTGGGGAGCATACAGCATCAATCCAGAGCAGGAGCTGTGGGGTGGAAACACCAAAAATAACTTTTTGAGCAGCTCTGTGGGAGATCCAGACTTTATCCCAGCAGGGGGAAGTCACCCAGCCAGCTCATCATCCCAAAAATGGCTGTGGATCCTTCTGGAGAAGGTGAACAGAGCATTGAGGGAACGGCTTCCCACTGCCAGAGGGCAGGGTTGGGTGGGATAGTGGGAAGGAATTGTGCCCTGTGAGGGTTGGGGGGCCTGGAATGGATTTCCCAGAGCAGCTGTGGCTGCCCCTGGATCCCTGGAAGAGCCCAAGGCCAGGCTGGACAGGGCTTGGAGCAACCTGGGCTAGTGGGAGGTGTCCCTGGGATGGGATTTAAGGTTCCTGCTCATCCGAAGCATTCCATGGGTTGGGCGGTGTCCCGGTGGATCCGGCACTAGAGGGCAGCAGCCCCGCAGGCAGGGATGGGACAGGGACAGCGGGACAGGGACAGGACGGGACACGGGAGAGTCCCGCCAGCCCTGCACAGCGGGTCCTGCAGGGAGCCCACCCTGGGGTGACTTCGGCACCCGCCCGCTCAAGCCGCGAGGAAGAGGAGGAGTGGAACCAAGCGAGCAGGACACGGGGCTGGAGCTGCAGCCCGGAGATCCCGCAGCGCTGAGCCGGGAGCTGAACCCTGCCCATCCCCAGGTCGGCATCGGGGGCTTGGGCCGGGATTTGGGCTGGGAAGGGTGGTGGGAGGAAAAGCCTCTCCCTAAGCAGGAAAGCTCACCTGGATCCTGCAAAATCCCTCCTGGCTGGGGGCTCTGGGGTGCTCTGCAGCCAGCCTGTCCCCATGGGATGCTGTCCCCATGGGCTCTGCTCTGGGACAGGGATGCTGGAATGCTGTAAGGGGACATGGACAATGTGACCCCAACCCCAAACCCGCCCCTCTTCCAGCCCTGGGGTCCCTCCCCTGCTGGGGACACCCCCAGGGTGACAGGGAACAAGGGAGGGGGGACAGACCCCCTGCAAACACACCCCCGCTTCCAAAACCTGCTTTTATTTACATTTCAAGTCAAATCACATGCAACTCTTGGTTGTTTTTGTTTTTTTTTCTTTCCTGTTTTTTCCTTAAGAAGAGTGTGATTAGCAAAAAAGACGCATTATTAGAATTTTCAAATAGCAATTAAATATACAAAAATAGAGCTTACAAAAAAACCAAACAAACAGAGGAAAAAAAAAAAAAACAAACAAAACCAAAAACCAAAACCAGCGAATGTTTTAAAAAATATTCTGCTGCAGAATTTGTAGTGTACAAACACGTCTATGAGGCTCCACGCTCCATAAACAGTCCCGGGTATTTTGGGGAGGGGGGACGGCACCAGGAGCCCCCCCAGCCCTGCCCGGGAAAGCCGCTCTGACACCCCCTCCCCCCTGGTGACGGTGGCAGGGGACACCCAAAACCCGCCTCGGAGAGGCGAGGGGGTGGCCCAGCTGCCCCCGGGCGCTGCTCAGGGCTTTGGGTGTTTTGGCAAGGGGAGCCGCGGCCCGGAGAGCCCCGGGGCCAGGCTGGAAGCGACGGGATGATCCCAAAGGCCGGGATTTCTGCCTGCCCCCCACGCCGCGGCTCTCCTGCTGCTGCTGAGGCCAGCACGGTGCTCCTTACAGGAGCTCCAGGCCCCTGAGGTAGCCGAGGAGGAGAGGCAGCCACCCTCGAGAGGGAGAGGGGGAATCCAAACCCGGGAGACCCCTCACAGCCACCACCGGGGGTGACACCGGGTGCCGAGGGGACACCGAACCGCAGCACGACTCCAGGGGAGAGACCCCATTTCCTGCTGGGAACCGCAAAGGCAAAGGAACCGAAGGCGAAGAGGAGGGAGCAGGAACCGGCCGCGATGCTCGGGGAGGCGCTGCCGGAGCCCGGGGGCCGTGCCGCCGCTCCCGGAGGTCGCTGGGTGCCGCCGCGCCGCTGCCCGGCGGCCGCGGGGCTGGAGAAGGGAGGTGCTGGAAGAAGGATGTCGTGCCGAGGATGCCGAGTCCCCTGGTGGTCCTGGCGGAGGATCCGAGCCCAGGCTTCATCCCGGCGGGATTCGGGGCTGCTCAGCTGCGGCCGAAGTGCTTTGGTTGTGTCCGAGCGCCGCGGGCCGGGCCCGGCAGGGACTATACGATGTTCTGGGAGCCGGGCAGCGGCCCCTGCGGCGGGCCCGGGTCCGGCTTCCCGTGCAGCTGCGCCAGCTGCAGCACCGGCATGTTACACAGGGGACACACCTTCCGCACCTCCAGCCACTTGATGAGGCACCTGCGGACACCGGCGACACGGGGCGTCAGTGGGGACACGCCTGACATCACTGGAGACACGCCTGACACTGATGGGGACACGCCTGACATCACTGGGGACACACCTGACATCACTGGGGACACGCCTGACATCACTGGGGACACGTGTGACATCACTGGGGACACGCCTGACACTGATGGGGACATGCCTGACATCACTGGGGACACGTGTGACATCACTGGGGACACGCCTGACACTGATGGGGACATGCCTGACATCACTGGGGACACGTGTGACATCACTGGGGACATGCCTGACATCATTGGGGACATGCCTGACATCATTAGGGATACCTGACATCATTGGGGTCACACCTGACACCAGTGGGGACACATGTGACATCACTGGGGACACACCTGACACTGACGGGGACACGTGTGACATCACTGGGGACCCCTGACATTGATGTGGAGCTGTAAGAATCCCCCCAAGCCCCTTTCCCCTGCCCTGGAGCTTTGCTGCTGCCCAGTTTTTAATTCACCATTTGGGTGCCTTTATGTTTGAATGGGATTTTTTGGGGGGGGTTCTCTGTGTTTGTATACAGGAATTTTGTATAGATATGTTTTGTATATAATTTACATATTATATATGTTTAATATATATATATTTTATATATCCATATGTATTTATATTTTTATATATTTATATTTATATAATAGGGATATAAAAAGGCAGACACCTACCAAAATATAAACAAAATATATACATAAAAGGTGTCTGTGAAATTATAAACACAGAATCTGCAAATAATATACCAATAATCCACTATCATGTATATAATGTGTATGGGAAAATAAAAATAAAAGTAATGTAAATAACTCTGATATAATAATCTTATTATGTATTTTATGTAATCATACTATTGTGTATTATATATAATTTTATATGTTATATAAGATGTTATACAATATATATATTTAATATATATTATATACATATAGTGTATATACAGTATGTATAGTATAGTGTATATACAAATGTATAAATATGTCAAATGTATAATATATAAATATAAATAGATAATGTATATACAGAGAATATAAAAATATCTGTAATATATAGTAATATATATATAATATATAATATATATAATATATATAATATATTATATATTATTATTATAAAGTAAATAAATATATAGAATAAAATAAATAAATTAAATCTATATATTTCCACTTTCCATGGAATTACAGACTGGCTTGGAAGGGATCCATGAGGATCACCACGGCCAAGTGCTGACTCAGCACGGGGCATCCTAAAAAATTCCCCCCCAGCTCCCCAAAGTGTGACTGAGTTTTGCAGCTGCTCCACGCGCCCCAGGTGATCCCAGAGGGGCTTTTCCTGCCCCTCCTGCCCTGGGATGGCCCCACTTACTTCCTGTGGAAGGCATGTTTGCAGGGACAGATCCCCAGCTCGTCCTTGGGCTTGAACTCCTCCAGGCACACGGCACAGATCTGCAGGGCGTGGGATGCACAGGGAATGTCAGCGCTCAGGGAGCAACATTTGTCAATAAAAACTACCAGGTGGCTAAAATCATGGAATTATGGAATGGTTTGGGCTGGAAAGGACCTTAAAAACCATCCAGTGCCACCCCCTGCCATGGGTAGGGATACTTCCCACTATCCCAAGGCCCATCCAGCTTGGCCTTGGACACTTCCAGGAATCCAAGGGCAGCCACAGCTTCTCTGGAAACACTTCACTCCCACCCTCACAGGGATGAAATTTCCCCCCTAAAGCCTTCCCAAATTCTGCTGTCCAAGCTTCAGGATCACAGGCTGAGGCTCGGGTCTCCCTTTCCTGCTGGAAGAGGCCATGGAGCCTCCACAGAACAGCCCCAAAGCTGGGATGTGTTTGAGGTTTCAGGGTGCAGGGGGATGGATCCACGCTGCTGCCTGGTCCCTGAGACTGGCAGCATTCCCAGGGACACCTCTGGGAAGAGGAAAAGGCCATGGGATTGTTGCCATGCCTGTCCCATGGCTGGGAAAGCTGCTGGCTGTTTTCTCAGCCAAAACCTCCTTCACCCTCGCAGCCAATTCCTCCCGACTCATTTTGGCTATCCCAGGGGATTTTGGATACTCCTGGGTGGTTTTCCCAGCCTCCCTGGCCTGAGATCTCCCAGTGCAGCAGGGCCAGGTGCAGCTGTTGGGGTCACCCCTGAGGAACACACATCCTGAGCTGCCCCAGGGCCTGGGAGAGGCAGAATGATGGGAAAAGGGGAAAACCAGAGGCAGAGGCAGGGAGGGAAGGGCTGGGTGGGAGCTCTCCCTCCGCACGGCTCCGGAATGTTGGAAAATTCCCACCCCGTCCTCTGCTTTCCAGAAACACTGCCTGCAAATGCCAAAATACAAAATGCCCAAAACGGGATCTTTTTTGAGCTAAACCCTTCCAGGCTTTTCCAAATCCCAGGAAAGAGCTTGAACAGCTCTGTCCTCTTCCCCACAGAGGCCTCGTTCTCTCCAAAAGCTGGGAGAGCTGCAGACAGCTGGGAACGGAGCTGGAGGAGGGCTGAGCGTTATTGAGGCCATTCCCGGCTCTGGCACATTCCCAAATCCCTCCTCCAGCCCATTTCTCACCCCAGGAAGTGCTTTGAAGCCAGTGTGCCGACAAAAACTCCACTGCAGGTCGGTTTAAAGGGAGTGGATCAGAAATAGGGGCCTGCAGCAGGGACTGCTCACAACCCCGGCGCCCTTGGGATTTACCCTGGGGGCTGCGGGGAGTGGAGGGTCAGGATAAAACGTGGGATGGGCTCTGCTCGAGGGATTAAAATAAAATAAATAGTGGTTTAGAAACAACTGGAGCTGGTGCTGAGCAGATGAGCAGCCTCGTGCCCGGATGTGGGTGGGCATTTTTGTTATCTCTAGAGGAATAAATAAATAAATCCAGGCCGTGCTTTGACGTGGGATTTCAGCAGATCCCTGCTCAAATTCATCAGGAAAAATGGGCTGTGAATAGAAACGCTCAGCCCCAAGAGGCCTGGAAGGCCATGGAGATAAAGGAAGGTGTTTGAGCCCTCGGCGGCGGGGAGGGAGGAGCGGATCCGCCTCTCGCAGGAGCCGGGGAGCGTGTTTATCCTGATTTCAGCTTTCCCTGCCCGGAGCTGTGCTGGATACTGGGGACGTCCCTGCTCAGGGACACTGTTTATACACGGCCCAGACTGCCTTGGCCTGCCCTTATCCACAGCTTCTTATCATTGTGATAAGAAGAACACAATAAATAACAATAACGATGCAGGAAAAGCCAAGGGGAGACAGGAGGGGGGAGAGGGTTTAATCCAGACTTTTGCACAGGATCTTTCCCCATCTCCAAAGCACAGATGGCTGCATGCTCTGCTCCCAGGGTTGTTGAATTTGGGGGTTTGCCCCCTCCCCAGGGTGAGGAAGAGGAGGGAGAGGGAGCTTTTGTTGCCCCAGGATGTGCTCACCTCATGGAGGTTCAGCTCCTTCACCTTCTCCTTGAGTATGACCTGCAAGGCAAAGAGCTGGGGTCAGGACAGAGCTTCTGCCATCAGCATTCCCAGGAAAAATCTCCACAAAGGGATCCCACTGCGTGTCCCAGTAGAACTGGAAACCCCCCAGTAAACCCAGCACAGCCAGGGAGCACGAGGGGCCCTGTGCAGGGACAGGAGGAGGGGAAAGATAAAACCACAAGGACCAAATCCAGGAGGTTTCCTCCCAAATTTAACCCTCCTGAGCTACCACTTCACTTTCCCTCCACCCAAGCTGAGCACCTGGAGAGGGCTATAAATGCAGGACAACTGTGTAATGGTGCTTTCAGCCCAGCTCCACCCAGCTTCCTGCACAGATCAAGGGGTCAGAGGCAGAAAATCCCACAAATCCTGGAGAAAACAGGACGTGGAAGCAGCAGCCTGACACCCACCTCTGGGCTGTGTTTATTTTAACTCTAAGTGCAGGTGGGTGCAGGGAAGAGCTGGGCTCGCCATGGAGCTGCTCCCTGTGGCTTCAGGGATTTGGAGCAGCCAGATCCAACCCTGGGAGCAGATCCAGACCCCACAAAATCTAAGTTTGGTGACTGGGGGAGTGATGGCATCACTGCTGTGCAGTGGGTGAGGCTGGAGAGGTGGGGGTGCTCCAGAGGTGGAGATGTTCCCACTGCTCAGGACCTCCAAGGAAAATTGGGAGACTTGGGGATGAGCAGGTGAAGGATGGTCCTGGGGGGCCCAGCTGGTAGGGGACAATAAAATCAGCTAGGTGTTACAACTGCCCTTTGAGGGCTAGAAACCACTCAAGGAGAGGAACAGCATGAGGAAAATTGATGGATTTGGCACTAGGGAGAAGGGAAAGGAAAAAAAAACTTAGAGGATCATCTCACCTGTTTGTAGGCGTAAAGCTCTTTGTGTGCCTGATGCCTGAGCCTGCAATGAAAGCAGGGAGAAACGTGAGGTCAGGCAAAAAAATCAGGATTACTGTAATACCTCCAACATTCCACCTCCCTCCTTTCCAGCTTTAACATGTCATATTTTACATTTTTGATTTCAGAAATGAGAATGGCCACAGGAAATGACATGTTTAGGCAACATCCAGCGTTCCCTGCTGCTGGCAGGGCAATGTCTCCATCCCAATGCACACAACTCCTCCCTTATCCCTCTTTTGACCTCCCTCATTTTCCAAGCACACATCAACCACTTAGTTAAGACCAGAAAAAGTGGGTGAGGAAATCACAGTCTGCCATAAATCCCCTCAGTTTCCAACCACTTCTGCTGGCAATGACTCCAACACTGAATGCAGCACCGTTTTCCAAGGCATGGGGCTCAGACCTGAGGAAAGCCCTGCTCCCACTCCAGCAGGGACAGGGAATGAGACCCTGCCCAGAGGTTTCCCACCAAAGCCCCCATCACTCTGCTTGGGTGACACTGGCTTCCTCAAACACAGCTTTATCCTCAATTCTGAGATCAATCAAACCACATCCACTCCTGGAGCAAACTGAGGGATGGAGATGAATGGGATGGGCCTGTTCCAAGAACACCTGCTGCAGTGGGAAGTCCAGCAGGACTTTTAGGCCACAAGCAAAGTGCTGGTTCCATCCCCTCCCTCCCCAGCCTCTCCTCTCCAGAGTCAGAGCCAGCAGAGCGTTCCACAGGCATCTGCTGGATGGAGAAACCCATTATGCTCCTAAAATAAATACACTTAAAATTAAAATAACCAATATTGCCTCTCATTACCAGACATGGCATTTAATAAAGTGCTTGGAAAACTCAGGAGGGAAGTCCCCAGGGCTGAAGAGTTGGCCAAGGACTTTCAATACAGAGTCAATATGTGGCTGCAGGGCTTGGAGAGCCATAGGACTATTTTCCACAACCAGCCCCAAGTGATTTCAGATGGGAAACCCCCTTGCCTGGAATTTCTATTCTGCAAAAATATTTTGAGGGCTGTCTGAAATCCCTGGCTGCTTCAACCTGAGCTCCTGGGGGTTTTCCAAGCCTGCCACGCTGCAGTGGGGGAGTTGTAAAAATGGCATGGAAAAAAATTTCCTTATGTCTGCCACCCTCCCCCCAAAATGTTGTGGGCATTAGAAGGTGAGGGATGGGTAAAAATGCACCTTAATTCTGCAGAGAGAGACATGCACAAAGCTCCTGAGTCCCAAATCTCACAGGGAGCCATCCCTCCTGCTCCAGCAACGCTGCCTGGCAGGAACCCGCCTGCGGAACCATGGAAAACAGTGCAGCAGGCAGGGAGGAGGAGGAGAAGAGGAGGAGGAGGAAGAGAAGGAGGAGGAGACCGGGGTCTCATCCCTCTGGCAGTGACCTTGAACAGAAACATGAGCAGAAGATGCAGGAACAATAGAGGGAACAGGATGAAACCGGCCCAATCCGCAGGGATCCGGCGGCTGGGAAGGCAGTTATGAAACACAGATGGGGAGAAGCGAGGCCACAGGCAAGGGAAAGCTCGACTGGAATGGGAAGCAGCATCCCTCTATGGAGCACTGAGTGGCCACCAAGGGTCTGGGCCCCATGAGCCAAAGGCACTGGAGCACCTTGGAGCAGTGGTGGGGAGGAAGTGACCACCTGGCTGTGGATGTGCCAGGAAGCACACGGATCTGGAATGCCCTGGGCTTGTGCTGAGCTAGACAGGGAGATTTTCCCAAAAAAACTCCTTCCTGGAGGTTCTGGGGAGCAGCACGAGCACATCTGGTGGCGAAGCGTGCGAGCTCAGCCTGCTCCTCCTTGCTCTCTGAGCCAGGATCCTGGGCCAGATGGATGCTGCTGGGGCCTGGTGCAGCTGTCGTGAGGAGACCCCGGATCCTGGCAAGCGCTATTCCCTGTGGGAGAGCCGGCTCCATCCATCTCGTGTCAAGTGCTGTGACTCCCGAGGAATTCCTGGCAGATGTCTGCCCGAGATAAGGGACCACACAGTGCCTGGCTGCTGATCCTGTGTGCTGTCACCCTCCCTGAAGGAACAACTGCCTCTCCGGGGCTTTGGGATCTCTTCCTGCAGGAGTGGGAGCTCCCTGCTTCTCTGGGTGACTGAATCACCTACAGCACGTGAACAACTACGGGGATAAAATGCAGAGGAAAAATGTTTTGCAGGTTTACCTCTGAGATTTCCATATTACATGCTTTATAGTAGAAGGAGAAGAAAGGCCCTGGGCACTGGCTTTTTATCCCATCATTGTGTTGCTGTCCCCAGCTCAGCCAGGCTCCTTGGGCTCTTCATGGAATCACAGAATCATCTGGGTTGGAAAAGCTCTCTGGGATCATCCAGTCCCCCAGCACTGCCAGGGCCACCACTAATGCATGTCCCCAAGTGCCACATCCACATGGCTTCTAAATCTTCCCTGGGATGGGGATTCCAACACTGCCCTGGGCAGCTGTGCCAATGCCTGACTACCCTTTCCATGAAGAAATTTTCCCAAATATCCAATCTAAACCTCCCCTGGCCCAGCCTGAGGCTGTTCCCTCTCCTCCTGTCCCTGTTCCCTGGAGCACAGCCCGACCCCCCCGGCTGTCCCCTCCTGTCAGGAGCTGTGCAGAGCCACAAGGTCCCCCCTGAGCCTCCTTTTCTCCAGGCTGAGCCCCTTTGAGCTCCCTCAGCTGCTCCTGGGGCTCCAGATCCTTTCCCAGGTCTGTTCCTTTCTCTGAACACAAAACCTAACCACTGTATTGGGTCCTGGCAGGTCTGAATGCAGAAGGAAACAAACCAAAAAAAAAAAAAAAAAAAGGCTTTTTAGGTGTGGTTA